TCTGTTATAGCCATATGTTCTATCTAGATCTATCACCGGATCAATCGACCATTACCCATATGGTTGGTGGCAAATGATTAACTGAATCATTAAGAATCGTTCCATTTTGGTTAAAAGCAAAAAAAAAAAAACTAAATGAAGATGTATAAAACTTTAATAAATATGATTTAATAATTAAGCTTTAATGCAATTCTTAACATTATTTTAAAATAGTTTAAGTATGTATTTATATATGTGGTTATGTATGTTTAATTATGTTGAAAAGCTACAATGTATGGCCAACATTCATCACATTTACCTCTACATATAATTTTTAAAAATTTACAGCTACAGTTACAGTTTTTCAATTTCCTCTACAATTGACGATAGTGTTCATGGCAGCTATGTATGTAATATAATAATTCGATTCGCATAAAATTAAAATCTTAATTCTAAAATAATAAGAAATGGCCACAGCTTACAGTAAACTCAAAACTACGTTTTTTGGAACGGTGTATATGATTTGTCAAACTCGACCGAATTTCTCCAAATTTTTTACACACCTTCTCTATAACATTATCTATCGCATGGCGTAGGACTTTTTGATTGATTTTGATTTTTTTTATTTTAAATTTTTAAACAGAAAATTTGTATTAAACATTTTTTCTTTTTTAAAGTGCTCCTATTTGCTAAAAAAAAAAATATTTCTAAAATCGGCAACGTCATGGTAAAGTTATTTTTATATAGTTTTAAAAAATTTAGTATTCGGGGTTCGGATAAAAATTGTGCTTTCCAGCATGTACACCACACGAACGTTCACTAAAAATAGTGCCTTATTAGATTGCTTGAATCTCCGCCATTTGTGAATATTTGTTATTCTTCCAATCATTATTTTGTAGTTGAACATATGTATGTACTTTGAGATTCCAATCAATCAAAAGTTGTAGTTTTAATACCTTTGAAAAATTAATTTTTAGAATACCATTCAATTATCAGGCGTTTTGGGAGGTCTTAAACTAAAACTACTGTTAAAAAAATACAAATATGGTTGTGTCCCACATTGGATAATAGATAATACCATACACGAAATTTACAGCTCATTAGAGCTGTTACCATTATAGTAATACCTACAAAAGTAGCGGTCAGTTCTAAAAATGTACTGGCAAGGAGGGAGGCACTAGATGTCCTAAGCACGACAATGTCGGTGCTGATCTATTCGGTTCCCAGTCAGCAGGGCATCCATAGCAACGAGACCGCAGACCGCAGGCAAAGGGCTGACGAGCAACAGAACGGAAAACGCCCCCGTCTCCCTCCAAAGTGAGCTGAAGAGACGGACGGACATACTATCAAAAAGAAGATGGAGAAGGAATTTGACAACCTGCAAAATATCTAAGATCATGGGCAAAGAGCGCAGTGACATACTGAGCCATTAAGTGCTGCGTCTACCACGGAGTGACTGCCAGTGGGAGTTCTCACGGGACACCGACAATGGAGGAGGTGCGATGAAACCGAGGCAACTAAAACCTTGGAACATATCATTTTCAGTTGTCCGGCACAAATGTAAGCAAGAAAGTACCTAGGTTCCCTAGTACTGGCATCACTAGAAGATGCCTCCAAAAGGTAAAAAGGTCAACTACTTGCCTTCGCGAAAACCTTCAAGGACTTCAAAGCCGCGTAAAATCTCCAGGTCCATGGTAAAACCAACATACGGACAATTAAGGGCCGATTGGCCTATGCGTGGCCTTCATGGGGGCTTTCCGGTTTAACCAAACCTAACTTTATTTTCTTGATCGTTCATATGGCAGCTATATGATATCGAAGTCCGGTTTTTATAAAACAATAAATTTAAAATAATACAAAATGGCTATGTCTAACACTTAAAGTAAATCTGTTGAAAACGGGAAAAGTTATACTTTTTTATACCCTTGCAGGGTATTACAATATAAAGCATTTATATAATTTAATTAAAGCATTTAATTTATATAAAGCATTTATATTCTTGATCAGTATCAACAGCCGAGTCGATCTAGCCATGTCCGTCTGTGCATTTCTACGCTAACTAGTCTCTTAGTTTTGAGGCTATCTAATTGAAACTTTGAAGTTGGTCTTCTAACAGATCGACTGAAAAGTCCCGGGCCTAACATAGAAAACGCGGTTTTTTTGGTTCAAAATTTGCTTTATTTATCAAATTAATCTTAATCTAGAGCAAAGCAATCATTCCAGCGCCTCTCTAACATTTCAACCACTTTTGTAGAACGATTTTTCTGTTGCCTCAAAATAGGCCACCATTTTCGTGATAACCTCTTCATTGGTGGAAAATTTCTTACCGGCGAGCATTTTTTTCAGGTCTGCGAACATCCAGTAGTCCCTGGGATCCAAATCTTGAGAATATAGTGGATTTGGGAGAAATTCGAAGTTGTATTCATGTAGTCTTTGCCATTCTTTTGATTGACTTGCGACACAGTGCGTTGTCTTGATGTGAGCAAACGCGGCACCCATTTTGAGAAGAGCTTTATCATAGAGTCAAATGCTCATGCAATATAAATCTAAAAAATTCTTTTGATATCTTTACGATGTCAGCTAACTGACGCAACATCACTTTTAATCATTCAAAACGATTTTGTGGATTTTTTTGATGATTTCCGGTTTTACCTCCTCATTTGGACGTACACTGCGTTCTGCATCTTCAGTGTCTCTAAGACCATGTTTAAAGTCAGCAAACCAACGTTTTATTGTTTTTTCTGATAGAGCGGAGTTCCCATAACACTTTTCAAGCCAAGACTTTCCTTGAATGGTATGTTTTCCCATCAAGAATCAGTATTATATCAAAACACAAATTTGTTTTTGTTCAATTTTTTTGAAAATACAAAAAGTAGCGCCACAATAACTCACAAACTAATGAATAGAATATCATGAAATTTTAACAGCTGTCTTATGAAAGATTGTATTAACTAAAAAAAAATTAACTGCAATAAAAAAATCGCGATTTATATGTTAGTCCCGGGACTTTTCAGCCGATGTGTTAAATACTTTCACACGTGTATATGTCGGAACGGGCCGGATCGGACGACTATATAAATTAGCTGGCCATAAGAATGATGAATGATCGGAAAATATGTACAAAAAATATTATAACATTTTCAGTTTTCAACAAAATTTGATCAAATTTTAGATATAGCCGTTTAATATTATTTTACAGCTTTGTGTAAAATCTTATGAAAATCGGACGACTATATCATATAGGAAGTTCGAAGTTCTATCTGCTTCCTTTCTTGTTTTCAAAACTTGTTCCTTTTTTTTATTGGCAGTTCTATTATTAGTCGTCCGATCCGGCCCGTTCCGACTTATATACGATTGAGGGTCCGATGATACGGACAGACAGACAGACAGACAGACGGACAGAAGGGCGGACATACGAAAATGGCTAGATCGACTCGAAAGAATATCAATAAAGAATATATCAACTTTATATGGTCGGAGATGACTCCTTCACTGCGTTGCAAACTTCTGACTGAAATTATTATACCCCGTGAGGGTACAACAACAAAGAAATGTTACTTCAGCACGTCGATGTTTGGATACCCTTGCAGATTGCAATTCAAAAACTAATAATTATTACAATATAAATTATATAAATTATTATTATATATAGATCTATATATATATATAAATATGATATATATATATATTTATATATATTTAAATATATTTAATATAGTTGTCGCACAATTTATATGAGAATCTAGGAAGTTTTCTGTTTTATGTACATATGTAATATTTTTTGTATTGTTATTGTATTGAAATGGATCAATTTTTAATGATTCAATTGCAAAAAGCAATGTTCGAGTTCCGAAATTTTTACCAAATAAAAGTCTTCACTGTAAGCGCGAATACAGCAAACATAATTTAAACACTATCACCAGCGACCAATTGTTTGGCATAAACAGCACCGCTGTTCATTTCTTTTGCAATTCGCTATCTTTTTGTTTTAATTGTACTAAAAAAAACTAAACTAAAGTGGAATATTGTGACCAATACCGGTAATAGATTGTGCGTCACAATGAACGTTTTTCTTATCTTTAAATAAACAAAAACTACTGGGTTTGAAAATAATCTGTACTTGTTATTAGTGAATATCAGATATTGCGTTGTTTATCATTACCAATAAAAAGGTTTGACCAGATGCTTTTTATTTGCTGCTCATTTAAAGTAATTTAATTATTTTTTAACCAGGGTATTCTAATTTTAGTTAGAAGCCAGCGTGTCATTTCTGACCCTCTAAAGTGTATATATTCTAGTCATGTCCGTCTGTCCGTTTCTACGCTAACTAGTCTCTCAGTTTTGAAGCTATCTGAATGAAACTTTGTTGTTAGCCTTCTATATACTCTCACTCGTATATATGTCGGAATGGGCCGGATCGGACGACTATATCATATAGCTGCCATAGGAATGATCGTAAAATTTTTACAAAAAAAATTTTTAACATTTTCAGTTTTCAATAGAATTTGATCAAATTTAAAATATAGCCATTTTATTATACTGTTCAATTTTGTGTAAAGTTTTATGAAAATCGGACTACTATATCATATAGCTCCCATAGGAACGATCGAGAAATTAATACAATTAAAAATGATAACTTTTTCAGTTTTCAACAGATTTTCATCAAATTTGAGGTATGCCATTTTATATTATTCTTAAATTTTGTGTCAAATTTCATGAAAATCGGACGACTATATCATCTAGGTGCGATACAAACGATCGTTTGATGTAGAAGAAAAATGCAAATCTGTGAATGTAAAGCTGCATATATAATATGTATGGGTGAATGAAATGAAAACAGGTATTACTTCATTGTTTTTTAACACAAATATATATAATTTATATGGTATGGATTCCTAGTCATAGAATTTCTATCTGCAAGAGTATATAAACTTCGGCGTGCCGAAGTTAGCTTCCTTTATTGTTTTTTTTTTAATCTATTAGATTGACCATTGAGTCAGTTATTTTAGAGTAAAGCTTACCTGTGGTGTAATTTCACCAAAGAGAACGATGGCCAATGTGGAAAATATAACGGCAAAAAGTCCAGAAGTTAAACCATCCAGCAGAATGGTAAAGGTTGAGTTAACCAACACATTACCCAAGAGAATACTGCACAACAGATAATTACCTTGATCTCGAACTGGTGCAATTTTTGATGCATATCTCTTTTCTTTTTCCGTACCAGTGTTTCGCAGTATCTAATATGTTACAATGTGACGATGACGTTAGAACATTTTTAATTCAGTTAATATTATCACCTTTAATTCTGTGCGGTCCATAGCCATTAAACCCAAGTTAAGACCAGAGAAAAGTGCAGAAAAGCAAAGGCATACTATTATGATGATTATGGCTATCCAAACTGGTAATAATGGTTCATGTGTTTCTATTTTAAGACAATTGGAATTTCCTTGGTGTGCCAAGGGCGATGTATTTTCGGCTTTTCTATTCTAAAAGAAAATAATATTTTTGGTTAATTATATGAAAGTGATTAAATAATATATAAAACACTTGCAGTATTTTCATCCTCAGCAGTTTTGGCACAAATATAAAATACACCTAAAGTTGTCGGAAATTTAACAATGTACGTCGCTGAGAACCCATCATTGGAAACTTCCAACGGTGTAAAAAAATCAGTGGCTGGCTTGAGACATGGACCACCGTATTCATTTGCTTCAGTGGTAAATGTTATAACTGTATTTTTCTGTATGCCACTGCCGAAAACTCTAAGTGTTTGATCTTTGTCTACCAACACACTAGGTATTCCATTTTTTGTTTCTACTGTGTCATCTTCTAATCGTATTCCCACAACTCTAATAGTATTTAAACCATGACGACTTCTAGGCGAACTATAAAGAAAGAAAAGTAAATCATTAAACAAAAAAATTAAAAATTTATTAGTCAATCTTTTAAAAAAATTGTCCAATTGCCATTATTGTATCCAATTGCTCTGCATTTAAAATTCGGAGCAATAAAGAGCAGTTAATATATTACGGAATCGCTTTTGAGTGTAGGGTTTCTCTAGTAAAATGAAATTAAAGTGCCAGCAAAATATTTTTCTGCTAAATCCACTGTTTTTTTCTTCTTTGAAGTTGTGAGTACATTATTTACATGTTTCTACATGTATTTTACATATTTATTTCATGTTTCATATACTGTATAATATATATAACAAGAAAGGTAACTTACAGATTGCAATTAGATTATTAATAATTAATATAATACAAAATATATAAATGAATATTTCAGACAAGACGACTTCGATTTATATAAAATCTAAGACACGACTTTAGCCAAAAACAACAAAAAGAACTTATCAAAAGACAAAAACCAGCTGTGGTTACGATCGTTTCATTGGCGGTACTCAAATCACTAGACCATTTGCTTACTATCACCAATCACCGTCTCGACAAAATATAAACTTATTTATAACAAAAAGTAGTGGTAAAACAAAACAAAAAAACACAAATATGTTTCCCTATTATTTTCTTTTTTATATTGGTAAATCTTAATAACGGTGCATTTTAAAATTTTTTTTTTTTTCAGTCATAAGTTTGCAACACAGGGAAGGAGTCGTCTCCGACCATATAAGGTATATATAATCCTGAGTCGCTCCAGCCATGTCCGTCCTTCAATCCGTTTCTACGTAAACAAGTCTTTCATTTTTAAAACTATCTGAATGAAACTACATATATATGTATATATGTTTATATTGATTTACAATTTTCCTAAACTTTATATAAAAATCGGACTACTATGTCATATAGCTGCCATATACATTTTTCAGTTTTCGACAGATTTTCATCAAATTTGAAATATGTATTTTCCTTTTTTATTATTCTATAATTTATATTTTAATTCTATGAAAATCGGACGACTATATCATATAGCTGTCATTCAATGTATATTATGTAAAAATGTAAATACAATCTATATATATATAAATGCTCTGTTCGTGTCTACTTCCTTTATAGACTTAAAAAGTTCTGAACCGTTTAAGCCCAAATTTTGACACAGCATGTGTTGAGGTTCCAGCTCGGTTATTGTATACTTTTGATGTTGATAGCTTATCTGCGTTTGCGAATATATCAGTTTTTTGTTGCGTTTCCCCGTGCCCCTACTGCTGCGCCCTCTACAGGCAGCCAGTTGAATCGAAGCATTTCCTGTCAAACATTCCAAAAATATTGAAAAAAGAAATAGGAGATTAAAATTTTATTTTTTTGTTCAGTTTCAGTAAGAAACGAAGTCATGCCACCCAAGAAGTAGAGTTTGGGTCGTCGTACTCGCAATACAGAAGCAAAAAGACGTAAGATTACGAATATGACTGACGAAGAGCGGGCCTCCATCCGAGAGACTGAGCGGCTGAGAGCCATGCAGATGCACAACGCGAAATCAGCAGAAAGACGAGCAGATAGGCTTTAGAGAAAACGATTGAGAGTCGCGTTCTGCAGCAATCGATTTGATTCACTCTCAAAATAATGAACGCGACAGGGCAAGGGTAGCTGAAGCGCGTTTAAAGCTTGCAGAAGATCAAAACCTGCAATACAATCGTCTTGCATTCCGATATAATACAACTGTTGATTATAGCTCGAATCGCAATGTCGTTATTGGCCGGATGCATCAGGTGTGCACATACTGTCAGGCTCTCAAATTCAAAAACGAACCGAAAGAATTGTGTTGCGCTTTCGGGAAAGTGAAATTGCTTCAACTTGAAGCACCACCAGAGCCTCTGCACTCTCTATTCGCGGGATCTACTGCTGAATCGAAGCATTTCCTGTCGAACATTAGGAAATACAACTCTTGCTTCCAAATTACGTCATTTGGTGCGGAAATTATAAATGCGCAATTCATGCCAACTTTTAAAATCAAAGGACAAATCTATTACAAAGCAGGTTCCCTGCTTCCGTTCGCAGACAGCGAATACAAATTTCTTCAAATGTACTTCATTGGTGATGATGGAGATGAAGTAGATGCACGTTATGGAATCAATACCTCGCTGAAGAGGCACATTATTTCGCAGCTACAGAAGCTTTTTCACGAAAGGAAAAATTTGGTGCGTTTGTTCAAAACAGCAATCGATATGATGCCTTCGGATACCAATAAAATTGTCATTCATGCAGACAAAATGCCTGCTGGAGAACATATCAGGAGATATATTGATCCAACTATAGACGAAGTGGCAATTGTCATAGTCGGGGATCAGTTCCAACCTCGAGATATTATTCTCCATCGACGAAACAATCGATTGGTAAACGTCGCAGAAACTCACCGTTGTTACGACGCTTTGCAGTATCCACTCTTCTTCTGGGATGGTGCCGATGGATACCATTTCAATGTGAGGATGGTAGATCCAGTCAATGATGTAGAAACGAATAAAAGGTGCAGCGATGATGATGTGATGAACAGTGATGAACTTTTACTCATACCGATTAATGGTTCGGAGGACCGATGACAATCATATATTGAAATGTCGTCAGTTGTTTCATCAGTACATTGTCGATATGTATGCAAAAATTGAAACAGAACGTTTGCTGTTCCTCCGATTGAATCAAGGAAATATCCATTTGCGGGATGCTGTAATGAATGACCGTAATACAACCAACGTTGGAAAGCTCACGATTTTGCCATCCTCATACATAGGTAGTCCACGCCACATGCATGAATATGCTCAAGATGTCATGGCATATGTTTGTTGCTACGGCCGTCCAGATTCATTTATCACCTTCACATGCAATCCAGCATAGGACGAAATAGTGCAGCTGTTATTTCCTGGACAATCGTCTAGGGATAGGCATGACATCACAACCCGTGTTTTTAGACAAAAGCTCAAGTCACTGATGGATTTCATTGTTAAACATGGAGTTTTTGGATCTGTGCGGTGCTGGATGTATTCAGTAGAATGTTCAGTGGATTGCCGCATGCGCACATACTGATTTGGCTGTATGATAAAATTACTCCAGACGAAATTGACGATGCGATATGCACTGAGATTCCACGGGCAAAGGTTGATACGGATTTGCATGCAGTTGTCATCAAGAACATGATCCATGGCCCATGTGGTACCCTCAACCCAAGTTCACCATGCATTGTAGACGGGAAGTGTTCCAAGCGATATCCTCGAGCATTTGCAGCCAACACCGTAGCAGGGGACGATTTATATCCTCTGTATAGGAGACGGTCAACTGAAGATGGCGGGACTTCGGCAACTTTAAAAATGAGAATTGGTGATATTGAGGTACATAGACAATCGTTGTGTGGTTCCATACTCACCCCTATTGTCAAAATCATACAAAGTGCACATCAACGTAGAATATTGCAATTCCGTGAAATCGATTAAATATATCTGCAAGTACGTGAATAAAGGCAGCGATATGGCAGTTTTTGGTGTTCAAGCAGAAAATGGTGACAGCAATGCAGTACGAGTTGTCGATGAAATCTCTCAATACCAGGCTGGAAGATACATAAGCAGCAACAAGGCTGCATGGCGAATTTTTTCGTTCCCAATTCATGAACCCTATCCAGCTGTAGTTCACTTGGCAGTCCATTTGGAGAATGGTCAACGTGTCTATTTCACAGAACTAAATGTACAAGAAAGAGTCCTGAATCCGCCTGCGACAACTCTGACTGCCTTCTTCACCTTACGCCATGAAGATGCTTTTGCCAGAACCTTGATGTATTCAGAAGTGCCCTCTTAACCAGAATATGCCACAGAGAAATGTGGCAGGGTACAGCTAGTATATATATATATAGGTGAATGAAATGAAAGCATTGATTTTTTTTTTTAACATAAATAAGGAATGTACCGAAAAGAAACTGCACACTTTCAATTGTGAAAAGCTGTCAGTGGGAGCTTTCGATCATGCCATGCGGTGCACCGTTAGAAAGCTCTATTAATTCTGCGTTGTTTGCATGTTCTCTTTTCACTATTTGTTTTGCACATTTCGCAATGCCTCGTATTGAAGAACACGTCCGTCAAAAAATTGTGCACAATTAGTGCACAGAAAACGGTGTTTCGTACCGAAACTTAGCCAAACGCTATAAAGTAAGCGTTAATAGTGTTAAGAATATTATTATCAAATTTGGGAAGACATGTTCTCTAAAAGATTTGCCAAAAACTGGCAGAAAAAAAGGTCCAAGGGATGCCAGCGTCGATAAGAAGGTGCTAGCTTTAATTGAGAAAAATCCCACGACGTCAGTTCGAGATTTGGCCAAAAAAGCGCGAACGAGTGTAAGTATGGTGCAGCGCATAAAACAACGGCATGGCCTAAAGACTTATAAAAAACAAAAAGTGCCAAAAAAAAGTTTGCGCCAACGAGAAGTCGGCAAAACGAGAGTACGCAAGCTTTATGATCGCTTGCTTACTGATGCAGTGGAATGCGTCGTAATGGACGACGAAACATATGTAAAATTTGACTCAAAAACATTACCAGGCCCCCAATTTTACAAAAAAGCCAAAGGTGAAACAATTAGCGACTCGGACACCAAAATAGAAGTGGACAAATTTGGGGAGAAAGTCCTGATATGGCAGGCAATTTGCACATGTGGCCTAAAAACCAGCCCATTTTTCACAAATGGCACAATAAACGCAGAGGTTTACCAAAAAGAGTGCATTAAAAAACGTTTAATACCGTTTTATAGAAAGCACAACGTGTCGACAATATTTTGGCCAGACTTAGCGTCAGCGCACTATGCCCGGTCAACATTGGCGCTTCTTGAGGCGGAGAACATCAAGTTTGTTTCAAAAGAGGAGAACCCACCAAATTGCCCAGAGCTGCGTCCCATTGAGAGATATTGGGCCATCGTTAAGCGAAATTTAATAAAAAATGGTAGTCTCTCCCAAAATAACAAA